ACGACCTCACTCGTACTAATTCATACGACTTGTCTAAACCCACGTGATGGTTAGGTTTAGGGGCGGGGTAAGGGGTAGGTCATTCGTACGAATTCATACGAATTGGCCAATTCGTAAAATATGTACGATTTAGCAAAATCATATTAATTCGTACGAGTGAGGTCGTATGAATTGTTACGAATTAGCCACTTTTTAATCATTCGTCGAATTCGTACGACTTGGTCGTGAGATCGGGTAGGAACTTCACATGCTGTTAGCAATCCATTGACTTTGACACTTTGAGAGCGAATAACTTTACATCTGAGGCGCCCAAAGACTTAATTTGTCCATTATTTATTCCTAAAGAAACACAACAATTTATAATAGGCTCCATTACTTTGTATCTTACTTTACGTCCCCATAGAAGCCGTTTTTGTAAAAAACAGACTAACGATTGCGTCATAACCACGTAACTTTCTGTCGCACAATAGAGACATTACCATATAGACAGGAGGAGAAGCTCGCATGAAATCTTTTACTGTCTATGAGGCAATCGGGGGGACATGGAGGCATAAAGCCAAGGGAGAAGCCCATAGATAGAGAGTCCATAAAAGCGACGGGACAAAATATTTCAACGTTTTAGGTGTTAGGTGATTCAGATTTGTCTTGGCACAGCTACTAGAAGATTTACAACTGTCAGACTGTCGTCACGCTCAGTTTGAGCCTGCACAGTCATTCAGACATCAGACAGGAAGTGCAAAAATCTGACTTCAGTCTTCTCCGTTGAAATCAATTGGGTCGCTGTGTCCATTTCTTTTACTGTCTATAGTTTCTCCAAAGGTTTTTTCCATTCTGTCACCTGATGGAGTTTTGGTTCCTAGCCACTGTTGCCTTGGCTTTTGACTTGCTTAGCACAGCTCGGCAGGGCTGACGTGGAGCGCAGGCTCGGCAGGGCTGGGCAGGACCAGCGATGAGGAGGGTTCAGGCTTAACGGGGCTGGACGGAACCAGCGGAGAGCAGAGCTCGGGCTCGGCGGGGCTGGACGGAACCATTGATGAGGAGGGCTCAGGCTGGAAGGCGATGATGGCTGGTGAGGTGAAGATGGTGGGTGTGTGTGGTTGAGTGGTGCGGTCATCCTCAGCCTCACCAACGCTGAGGGCTGACCCACTCAACCACAACACATGGTCCAGATAACCGGCGAGGGTTCCTGGAAACGCTGCTGCTGGGGCTTGCTGGTACAGATGATCGTCCAGGCCCAACCAAAAGACAGTCTTGGAGATTTCATCTGACCAGCTCACCCCAGCAGAGAGTTCCAGGAATTTGGTGACATACTCCTCTATGGCCTGACCATCTTGGAAAATGTTGAGTAGTGTGAGAGCTGCGGTGAGGAGAAGTCCCATGCTGCCACTACTTTTGGTCGATCGTTCTGTCACGGTGCTGGTGGAGTGTAGGTAGAAGAAGGAGACTGAGGAGGCAAATGCTCCAATTCAAACACTTTACTAAAACTCAAAACAGCAAACAGGTACAGGTAAAGGCAGGAATACAGGATGAACCACTCTCTGACAGAAAGTAACATAGACAACGATCGACAAGGACTGAATGGAACAGAGGGAACTAAATACACAGATGAATCAAACATAATGATGTGAAGACAGGTGATACTGATGAACAAGACGAGGAACAGGTGGCTGATGAGGGAGTGAGTTCAGGAGTAGAGACAAGAGGATCCTGGGAAGTGTAGTGCAGATGACGAAGACAGACTGGTGCAGACGAAGGACTGTGACATCACGATCCACAATTTAGAGCACAGACTGCTGTTGTGCTCACTGTGTGAAGAGTTTTGGAAAAGTATTGAGAAATAGCGATTGTAAAAAACAAAGAAAAACTGTAATTACTATCTTATGTCTAATGTCATGCACTTTCAAAACAATAGATTTGATACAATCACTGTGAGAGGATTGCAATTCATAGTCACTTGAAAGAGTGACTTCTTTTTACAAGAACACACTCAGACACAAGCAGCCAGAGTATTTTTTGTTTTTCTTTATTACATGCATTCTCTAACTGAATGTTGAAGGTATACAGGTGTTGTGGGAAAGAATGTGGAGCTCTGCTGCATCAGCAGGTGAAGTGTGGCCAATGCACATTCCAGGCTCTGCTTCTCAAGTTAATGAGTGTTTAATTCAGGGCAAATGTTACATCACAGATGAATCAGGAACAGGAACAGTAGATAAACCCAGATAATAAACAACACAATTCTACTTTCTTTGTAATATTGGGGTAAATATATAATTGTTGCATAAGTATTATGACACAAGCAAATTAATCTTTCTTGACAAACAACACCAAATAATTAAAGGGCACCTAATAATTACAATTTCCATTAGTGTGTTGTATGCAAGATGCCCATCTTTTGATTAGCAATGAATGTTTAGGATTCAGAGCGTTCTATTCGACAGCTTCCATTCTATTCTTGCTTCTATAATTACACACGCATGCCATGCTAACATGCATGCATTTTATGATTTTACCTTTAGCCCTTTCTCAGTTATACGACCTCTACTGGAGAGACATTGTAGTAACATTATTGCACAAAAACAAGGATGACCCAGTTTTAAATGAGCACAAAGATTTGTAATGACAGTAGACTATAAAAGAGTGAAAGTTAAAAATTATTAAATTTCAATCACAAAGTCGATAAAACAATTCAAATACACATTTTCATAATTAATTTACTGTAAGTTAATTTAAAACAAAATAATTTTTAAAAAGAAAAAAAGTATGCTTGCTAACAGTAAAAGTTTGTTTAAGGAGTAGTTCACTTTTCAAAAAAACTTTTGCTGATAATTTACTCACCCCCATGTCATCCAAGATGTCCATGTCTTTCTTCAGTCGAAAAGAAATTAAGGTTTTTGATGAAAACATTCCACCATTTTTCTCCACTTCAGTGGGAACCAAACGGTTCAAGGTCCAAGACACTTTCAGTACGAACTGCAAACTGTTCAATAGGCTTTGAACGATTCCAGACGATGAATAAGGGTCTTATCAAGCGAAACGTTCGCTCATTTAAAAAAAAAAAAAAAAAAACAACAACGAAATTTAAAGAGCCCCTATCATGGATTTTTGAAATTAGTGTGGAATATATAGCTCTAAGGGAATGAAAACATCCTGCAAAGATTTATATCTGAAAGTGCACTGTATACTGTATAAAGTGAGAGTCGACTCTGAGTCTGAAATGAATTGTTTTTGAAACGAGTCATTAGCTGTTTCGTAGTGACGTAGATACGAAATATTGGCATATTGACCGCGCCCAGTTACTGCGCGCACAGACGGAAGTGTAAACTTGAAGTCTAGAACACAAATACTTCAGCTGAACAGCGTCATGTCGAGAAGACTCTGTGTTCTACATTGCAAAGACAGTTCAGCCACTTGTTTTCATTGCCCAGGGACGAGCATGTGAAGAATGTTCCAAAAAAAAAAAAAAGCCCCAGGCTATGGAACAAATTGCCCTTACATATTAAAACAGCGCCCACAGTGTCGGTGTTCAGAAGTCTTTTAAAAACCTACTTGTACTCAATGTTTTGTGAAAGTTGTTTTTTTGTCTTTGATTTATGTTTTTGTTTTCTTATTTTATATGGATTTTAATAGATATATTTTGTACAGCACTTTGGTCGACCTAGGTTGTTTTAAATGTGCTTTATAAATACAATAAACTTGAAACTTGAACTTGAAGAATCAGTGGTTAGAGTTCATATTTGCAACGATACCACAACAGTATAGCCCGAACCTTGTGTTCTCATCATTTTAATGACGAATCATTCAAAAACATAGGCTACATGAATTCAAATGTGGATTTACAAGCCGGTTGTTCCCGAAGGAGAGCTCAGTATCCACTGTGTGTGGATCAGGTTCGTCCTCCTCCGAATCACAATCTGTAAGTATTATTAATAATGTTTGCTGAATTATGGTTTCTGTAGCATGCACAATATAGTTATATTTTGTTGTGTACCTCTGCGCTGCTTCTAAGCGGGTAACGTTAGTTTTTTTTTTATATATTCCCCAGACATTCACTGAAAAATGGCAATTACCTCCTAAACGACTTAGCCAGCCAAACATGACTTCGCTCTATTTAATAAGCACTGCCCCTCAAAAGCCACCGCAATGTGAGTTTCGCAATGCTTACTCGCTCTTAACGGCGATGCGAGTAAGGGACCGTGTGGAAAGTGCACTTTTTCTGACATGTTTGTTCATACACTGTACAATTTTCAACACTTGACAAGCTATAATCCATTAATGGTGATGGGAATTCCGTTTCCGACAATCTCTGCCTACGGTTTACCAATAACGACTGACTGGGTCATTTGAACAATCGCCGCAGATTCGAGTCACTCAAAGGAGGTATTTGGGAAAATGAATCGTCGAACGAATCTTTTGGGAGTCGTTGAGCAAATCAGGTAAAAATAAAAGCATATGATAAGACAAATAAAATGTTTTTTATCCTTGCATGCACATTAAACTGTTTTTGGGAACTCCCAAAACAAAAATAGGAACATTCAAATGCTATGATAGAGCTTGCACCCATGTTCGTTCATGACTCTCCTGTTCGAACTCGTTCATCAAAATGAACAAATTTTTTTTCGAGTCAATTCGTTCGTTTCGAAATGAAATGGGAGTCATAAACGTGCGTCACAGAACAGAGCAAGGCGACCATTTGAGCTTATAAAACGTAAACTTAGTTTTTTTTTTTTAAATGAGCGATCGTTTCGCTCGTTGAAAAAAAATGTTAAAAAAAAATGTTTAAAAAAAAAAACGTTGAAAAAAACTTCTTTTTTTTTTTTTTTTTTAAATGAGCAATCATTTCGCTTGATAAGACCCTTCATCGTCTGGAATCGTTTAAAGCCCTTTGAACAGTTTGCAGTTTGTACTGAAAGTGTCTTTTGGACCTTGTTTGGTTACCAGTAGGCCTAAAGGAGAAAAATCCTGGAATGTTTTCATCAAAAACCTTAATTTCTTTTCGACTGAAGAAAGAATGACATGGACATCTTGGATGACATGGGGGTGAGTAAATTATCAGCAAAAGTTTTTTTTCAAACACTGAACAAAACACTGAGTAACTTAAGTTCAAAGTCCTTGTGCTCGATTTAAAAAAAAACAAGTCTCTCTCTCTCTCACACACACACACACACACACACACACACTGATGAGCCAAAGCAGAGACACTGTGACAACGTACAAGATTTGATATAAGTAAACAGATCACGTAACAATGTCCATAAACCGATGGATGTTTATGCATGACTCCAAACACTCTTCAGCAAATATTCTCATGTGCAACAGCCCCCTTTACTTTTCCTCCCCTCTTCATCATAGTCCTCCAAACACAATGTGGGTGACTCACTTTGGGAGTGTTTTTGAATGATGGATGGCAACAGTAGATCAAAGAGTGTTTCGAACATAACGTCTACATTAAATCCAGTCTTAGCACTTGTCTCGAAGCACATCTTCTCTGCTGGTGGACTGATGCCCTCTAGTGCCTTATAGCGCATTATGCGGTTGTAAAGTGCTATGGCATCATCCTGATTCACCTGCTTGTGCAAGGGAAAGTCAGGGGGTGTAGGACAAGATGAAAGGGGAAGTACACTACCTTCTTCTGCCCTGACTTCCTCTGGGGTCATAACTTGGGATTGAGGGTCAGTAAGGTCTGCTTTGTTGCCCACAATGGCAAATATGCTGTCACTATTGGCAGAGTCAGTGAGAGAGAGGAAGCGATCTTCAAGCTCTACAAAGCTCTGCCAGTTTGTGACATCATACGTGAGAATGATGGCTGCAGCGCCACGACAATACATGGAGCCCAGACCATGGAACTGTTCACGACCTGATGGAATCAGAAGCACAAAAAAACAGAGATGAATAGATCACATATAACAACTGGCCACAGTACAAGAGTAGCATAATATATATTTCTATATAAATTAATAAACACACACTTATATAACATAATTTATTCAGTAATCTTGCCCTCCAATGAACTGCCACCTTGAGAACTGTTGTGACAGAATACATACTGTAGCTGAGTCTGTAAGCTGTCAGTCCAGTTTGTGACTCTATAAAATTTGTATTTGTTTGACATGAAAAAAAAAATTTAATGCAAAAATTTCATGTTTTGGTAACCTATTACTTTCCCTCCTTCCTTCATCAATGAGGTAAGTACATTCTACTAACAATTAAATGAAATAATGTTCATTTTTCAACCCCATCTCAAGGTCAAGTTTTTTTCTGATCATTTATGGGGTGGAATTTTTCTTTTTTTTGACAGAGTGCAGATTCAGCTGTGAAATTTGTGTTCCTCACTCAAAGCTGCCACTTCAGCTATGACTTCAGAAGACCTTTCGCTTTCATTGTGAATAGATTAGAGTATGAATATTTCACCTAGTCTCATTGTCTATAATTTCTGTTTCACAGAGGAAAGAAAAGCATTGGGGTTTGGAAGACATGAGGTTGAGTAAATATGACAGAACTGTGCAAACTACCTCTTTACTATAAGTGCTTCAGCAAAAACACAAGCGGAAAAAAAAAAAGAATCCACATTTATTGCTGAAACTATAAGATTGCAAAAAAATGCTGCAAATAACACGAGATAATATGGCAACATGCTTTTTCCACGCACTGCTTTTAAAAACTAGAAAAAGATTTTAAAAAATATACTTTTTTTCCCTCATGGAACTAAAGTTAATTTTGGCAGATCATATATAATTACTCAATCAGATTTATTTAGACTGATGAACAGAATCGACATCTGAGGAACATGACATAGAATGGATCAGGGACATTCCGCAGCTAACACGAGAATATGAGGTTTGTCACTTGATTTCATCACAATCACATGTGGATCAACTATCTCTATATCTAAATATCACAATCTGACATTTAAAAGAATACAACAACTAGAGCCGTAAAACTCTAAAATATATATATATGATGTTTTAAAATAGGGCTACAGGGACATTTAATTGCCAGCTTATTTTAATTGAAGATATGTCAATAGAAACACTATGAATGTCACTGAACTAGCCTATAGGTTTTAATAAAAGCAAAGATTTCTGAAATGAAATACTTAAAATAACCTCATTAATTACAATAATTATTAAATTTTAAAATAATAACACTAGTAACAACATGCCCCTTGGGCCCCTATGTGCCAATTCTGGGGCGTGGGTCACCTTACCCAAAGGGTCTATTTTTATCTTTTTACTTCAAAATAGAACTTTTACTCCGCAAATCCCTCATTAACAAATAGAGATAAAATAACTCTGATATTCAACATAATACATCATTTATCACTGAAATTAGATCAATAACTCAAAACTATTTTGACTGACTAAATCTTACAAAAGTTGATTAAGATTAATCAAAAATTTTACAGACATTCATCAAAAGTCCTGAGATGAGATTTTGGGTCATCTATGGTCAGGATAAAAATTAAGGTAACGTTAGGCTATAACATTTGGATCTCAATCTTACCCGCTGTATCCCAGATGGAGATGTTGTATGGACCCCACTGCTTCAAGAAAAATGCTCCACCAATTGTGCTCAAAGTGTCCTTAAAGTTTCTCTCTGTGTACCTATGCAGCAGGGACGTTTTCCCTACATTCATGTCTCCTATGACAACCATTTTAATATCGGGCTTTCTCATTTTCCCAGGTGGAGACATGATTTTAACCGCGAGGACACAAAATTACTTCAGACTTCCAAATGCTCGCAAAAGGTTTCCAGTTTTGGCTTATATCGCACAAAAACCTTAAGGAGCAGTCACCAGGTCTTCCGAGATATTTAATTGTTTTGAAATGGTCTTGTTCGTGCTTAAAAACACAGTCCATGTCAAAGCACTTAAAAGTTCACTTCTAGCAATGACGCAACAGGAAACTCAAGACCAATGGCACAATGATAAAAAGTCCTGAAACCCGATTTACACTAAATATGTCGTCACACAAGTCAAGACAGATTTTTTTTAAAAATAAAATACTTTATTTATAAATGAATCTTTTCCAATTGTTCCAAGCTATTTATGTCTATTTAGGTGAATGCAATTAGAGCAATGACTTCTTCCCAGTTCATTCATTTAAGTTATTAAGATAGTGTTTTTTTCTCATTATTTTTTATTCTAACATATTTCACTCTTATTCTTACACTAATTGGCTTCATCACTTTCTCTCCTCCACCAATAAGTGTGTGTGCAGGGTTGCCAGGTCCCAGAAATATTTCAAGTCCAATGACAACTCAAAACCCGCCCAACTGGAATGAAAACTAGCCCAATTTTATATATATATATATATATATATATATATATATATATATATAAATTCCCTCTTTATACAGGTGAAACTCGAAAAATTTGAATATCATGAAAAGTTTCAACTTGTAATTTGAATTACTGAAATACATGAACTTTTGCACGATATTCTAATTTTTCGAGTTCCACCTGGTTGCAAATGAGAACTTGTTCTCAACTGATTAACCTGTTTAAATAAAAGTTAACCTGGTTATTTAATATATATATATATATATATATATATATATATACATTAATATATATCGATATATAGATACATAGATATATATATATGTGTGTGTGTGTTAAGTTAAATTTTTTGCCATTTTGTCTCACCCAAAATCTTAATATCACACACTGAAACACAATCTCATACAATAAAGGTCAAGAACTTGTCCTCTCTGATATTTTCTGACCCTAGTAGTCACTTCCTAAATGATCAACAGTTGAAGTGCTTGAGTGACACACAACGTGAGCAGCCAGCTTCCTCTTTCACAGCAACATTAGTTCTTAGAAAGGAACTTTGCCTGTATCAAATAATGTTTTTTTTATGTTATTCAGTCGCAGCATAAGCTACTAGATCACTGTGGTGAACTCTGATTTCACATTTGCAATATTTACAGGACGTTTTTCTATCATCATTTTTTGGAACACTTCGAATGTGATGTGATGATGCTAGATTTGTGATGTTACGTCAAAAACACATGAGACGCTTCCACTCGCCCACCCATAGACAGCGCCCGCCACAGTGGTTGTTGCCAAATATTCATTCCCGGTGATCAACAACACCCACTAATAAACGGTTCCCTTTTAATTTTTTCTTTGTCTACAATTTAATTATTATTATTTTTGTGGCCGCAGTACATAATAAATGTAGCCCAAAAAAACGCAACCCGCAACTCCATAATTTTTCCTGCAACTCTTTTTTTAAAATAGCCCAATTGTGCGGGAAAACCGCTACCCTGGCAACATTGTGTGTGTTGGGCGTTCTGGCACAATATGGCTGCTGTCGCATCATCCAGGTGGCTGCTGCACATTGGTGGTCGTTGAGGAGATTCCCCGTAAAGTGCTTCGAGTGCCAAGAAAAGCACTATATAAATGCAATGTAACTATTATTATTATTATTATTATTATTCCCCATTTAAGGGGAATGTTATAGGCTACTGCTTACCATGTTGACAAATGAGCATTATAAAAAGTTTTTCATATAATATTGTATAATTTTCAGACATTATGATAGTTAATAGTCAAAAATGCCTGTCTTGCTAAAACAGTGGTATAATTATTTTAAATGTACACAGGTCTTAAGAGAAACACTACAGAATATGCTCTAATATCAAATGATAAATCTTTCCAGAAAACAAAAAACAAACTTAAGGTGTCAAATTATGTGAAAATAGACACTGCACAAGTCTTCCACCAATCAAACATCAAGTTGCCAAATGTGAATAACTTTGCCCTAACTTGTAACATTATGATTAGTGTGTAGTGTACCATTCCATTCTGACCTTGAGCCAGTGGAGCTCAATAAGGATCCTTTGCTTTAGTTATTTCTGTATAAGAATGGTTGAGAAAGGGTTAAGCTCTACTTGTGAGGATAAACTATGAACAGAGTTGTTTTATTAACATTTACATATTCAATATGTGGTTATGATTACACTTGTGTTCCAACTTTAGTTGGGTAATAGTTATTAGGTAATGACTGGATTTTTTTGAAAGTGTCTTCAGTTGAAATAATTTCTTTAAAGAAAAACTTGAACAGTCACCGATGAGATGCTTCAAACAGCATGTCCAAGTTCTAATAGATAAAGGATTGGCCCAATTCAGTCAGTGGTTAATTCTTCCTTGTCTCTCCTCTTGTAATTTCCCAAGTGGAGATTGGGCTTCTATCCTGAAACCAAAATCAAAATATTAGCACCGTTAAACACAATAAGCCTTGCAATGTGCTTTGAGAGTAGGTGTTGGAGGCTTTGAAAGCTCTGCTGCACTGTGGCTGTTTCTCAATATGTGTTCTTCATCAATCTTGCATCCTTGTTTTCTCGTACTACATCATTATCAACCGTCAAAGTACAATTCCAATACTCAAGAACGCAAGTACAGAGGACAAATGAAAGTGCCTGGATGTGTTCTTGATAGAGGACACATGGAATGCAGACTTGAGAGAATCAAACCGTTAAAAATCTCAGAAGACACTGCAAGCAGTCAACATAAGCTGTAAGCTTTAAGCTTCTCGTTTTCACTTAAAAGATTCCCGCTGCGAGTTTGAAATGCATGACAGCTTGTGAAAGTAAACATGTGTCCATCACTTTTGCTTAATTTTAATAAAGTGATAAAGACCTTAAGAAATCGGCAGTATTTTTATTGGCATATTAAGAAGAATCTAACATTGACAAACCATAAACTCACGGTAAAGTAAAAAATAAACTTATATAAAAACAATGTCTATAATAATATGAAAGAAATGTTTAAACGGTTAGTTCACCCAAAAATGAAAATTAAGTCATTAATTACTCACCCCCATGCTGTACCAACCCCGTAAGACCTTCGTTCGTCTTCGGAACACAAATGAACATATTTTTGATTAGAAGAAGAAAGGGAATAGTCGAATAAAGTCGTCATTTTTGTTTGTTTTTTCGCACAAAAAGTAGTCTCGTCGCTTGATAAACTTATACTTGAACCACTGTTGTCACATGGAATATTTAAACATTTTCTTCATTGACTTTCTGGGCTGTCAAGTTTCGATCCCTTTGACAGCCTATGTAGCAGTGATCCACCTCTCAAATTTAATCAAAAATATCTTCATTTGTGTTCCGAAGACGAACGAAGGTGTTAAGGGGTTGGTACAGCAAAAATTTTCATTTTTGGGTGAACTAACCCTTTAATAGGTTGTGACATAGGTTTGTGATGCTATATTGCATTTCTTGTAGTTTGGCCGCTAATCGCCATTTGCTGAGATGTTCTGTTTAGTAGCAAGGATGCAGCACATCTCACCGAGAACGCAAGTCCGTTCTTTGCGTTCTTGAAATTGAGAAAGAGCCTAAGGCTGAATCCCAATTCTCTGTCTTACCCCTTCCCCTTAGTTTTGCGCGTTCACGTGAGAGGAAGGGCTATCCCAATTCTCATTTTGATCTAGGGGTAGGGGTAAGGTGAAGGGGTATATACCCCTTAAGATCAAGAATTTTCACGAGCTTACTTGAAACCAAGGGGTAAGAAATGCACAAGTTTTTTTGCTTAAATGATTGATAAAAAATATGACCGTCGTGTTTTGTGCTCTACACAATTATGTACATATATATTTGCAACTATGTTGTTTATTGAAACGTTTTTAAAGTTTTTAAAACTTGCTACTTTGCTACGCTAGGCTATGCTAACGTTACATTGCTGATTTGCACAATCAGTCCCATATTTCAAGATCACCCAAAATGTCCGGGATTCAGCTTTTGCTTTCTACAGTCGCCTTTCATTATGTGTACATTATTTGACACAGACATGTACGTGATCAGCTTCTCAGATGCATTCAGCTTCAAACAGATCCCGACTGAGATGAAAACACAGGAATATTAGATCAACAATACATTCAGATTCACCGATTTAAATGAAAGAATTCTGTCCGATTGAAACAACACCTTGTGCATGTAAATATAATGAATAGTGAAGACGGAAAGCAAAATCCCAATCCCGGACATTTTGACGGCATCTTGAAAGTTTCGAGAAGTTTGTAATCAACACTCGTTGCCCCGGGTGACACAGACGCCAGTTAAGGACGATGCAAGATGACGTAACCGAGTGGTGTCTCATTTCATAGGGGTATGTTTGCACTAGCGCTTACCATTTGGTTTCGAGGGACAAGAGCTAGGGGTAAGACGAAGGGGAAGGGGTAAGACAGAGAATTGGGATTCAGCCTTAGTCTGACACGATGAAATCTTACCTTAATGTGGACTCCAAGGGGTGCTAGATTATTCCTTAAGGCATCACAGGCCTTCAGCAAGGGTATTCTGTCTGGCTGTGGATGACTTTTCTGCATTTCACTGCCAGTCTTGGTGTCTTGTGGAGCTTGGTCTTGCACAGAAAGTGCAAATTTACGAACCTCACTACGAAAATGCACCAACTCCTCCACCACATTGTTCAAAACTCCGGAGGAATCATGGACTACCTAAGGGACACAGAGTAAAAGCATTGAAATGAAAGAGATCACACTTACATACAGTATAATTAGACAATATACAGATTATGCGTATTTGGCGTGCTGTCCGAGGGCAGGGGTCCGAGACCAGAATTTGGCCTGAACCCAGAATACTTCCCCATCCCAAGTTGAGATAGGAATAGTCAAAAGTGAGGAGATTGGGTGGTGGAGGGATGCTGGAAAACTGTAACCGAACAGAGGCAAGTCTGCTGTATACTGTGTATACCTCTTGTGTCATGAACTGAATGTGCTCCTCCTGTGTTAATTAGGTTCATTTTTTGAAAGTGCTCCTCCCGAACTTTGTTAATAAAACATCATGTGTTGCAATTAGGGCTGGGTATTGAGACAAATTTCACAATTCGATTCGATTTCGATTCACAAGCTTGCAATTCAATTCGATTT